GGGGGGGGGGGGGGGGACGGACACACGGATGGATGAAAGGCATGTACCCATATGTATGTGTTGTATGTGTGTTGTATGTGTTTGCAGGAGTCTGCGTGCGGTGTGCGGTCGTCGCCGTCTGAGCGGTGACTTTGTGGATATGGACGACCCCACCATCGTACAGGAGGCTATCGAATTCATCTATGTATGTGCACACACACACACACACACACACACAGAGGGAGGGAGGGAGGAAGGGAGAGCCCGACGGACCACCGACCATGTGTATGTGTGTGCAGGAGATGCGCGAGAAGCGTTCTGAGCTCAATGGCAAGAATCGAGAGGCAAGCGGGCCACACACGACGCGACGTGTGAATTCCTCCTCCCTCCCTTCCTCTGTATGTGTGTGTGGTTTATCAGAAGCACCAGCTGATGTTGAAGCAGAAGCGTCTGGGCAAGTGCCGCGACGGCAGCTGGGTCAACATGACACTGCTGCAGCAGTTCACACGTACAGTACCTACACAGCACAATGCCACACCACACGTCCGTGCCATGCTATGATTGATGCACCCACCCACCCATCGTGTCCTGTGTGTGTGTGTGTGTATCAGTCCAGAAGTACCCCGAGAAGGACGTGGTGCGTGTGCTGCAGAAGACCAACAATGACCCGCAGGAAACCGAACGCATGCTACAGGGTCAGCAGCAGCACGCACACAATACGGTGCCAGGGATCCATGTGATGTGTGCGTGCGTGTCTATCCATCCATCCATCCATCCAGAGGAGGCGCTGTCCAAGTCTATGCTAGAATCGGCCGTAGAAGCTATGGTGGGAGCCTCACTCTCGCGTGTGCGTGTCATCCGATGGATCGCTGTCCACATGTGACTGACACAGGTGGGTATGGGTGTTGACGCCGAGCGGGCCCGCGCGGCGCTGCAGCTGACGAGCAACAACTCGATCGACGAGGCCATGACCATCATCACCACACAAGACACCAACAGCCAGGACTCGGTGCCACCTGCTGCCGCTGCGGCCGCTGCCGCTGCTTCCGAGTCATCACCCTCCCCTGCTGGCCCACCCAGCCTTGACTTCAGCTGCCTACACAATCCACTGCCGTCTACCAACTTGGAGGTGGGAGGGGAGGGGGAGGGACAGAGAGGACGGAATGGCATCCGTCAGTGTGTGGGGGGGCGTGTGTGCAGGAGTGGACGGGCAACGAGTTGTGTGTGGGGTTCGTGTGTGCGTGTGTGATGTGTTGTGTGGCGACCCGCCTGTTAGGCGGTGCCACCCTGGCCATGCTCAACACCCAGTGGAACCTCACACCGCCCGACATACCGCCCGACGACGACGACGACGGCGAGGAAGTCGACTACCAGGCTGAGCAGCTGAACGAGCAGATTGAGGAGCAGTTCGCACACTCACTCCGCAGTAAGAGCAGAGACACACACATACGAGGGATACAGACGGGACGCGTGGAATGGCCTCCCTCTCCCCCTCGCTGTGATGTGATGTGATGTGATGTGTGTATTCCATTTATCCATGATGGCCATTCCATGCCATGCAGCTCAGAGCGACCCGTATGCGTATCTGGACATTGATTTGAGCGAGGAGCGGGCCTACCTAGACGTCTACCGCAACACATATCTCGAACACCAGCGCAAATTCGGTAGTTATCTAGGCAACACACACACAACCACCAGACGCGTCATGTCATGTCATGTGTGTCTGTCTTTTCTGATGTTTGCATGACATGGTCCCCATTCCTCCAGGCGACAGTGGGTGGAGTGGCATGGAGATCCTGCGCGTGGGCGCCCAGGCCCTCTCACACACATCCACGGCATCCTCATCCAGCGGCCCTTCATCGGCCACATCCGCCGCAGCCACCGTGCCCTTCCCCATGCAGACAGACGACGCACCCAGCCCAATGTCCATCGACCAGCAGCCGCAGCAACAGCAGCAGGAGGGTGGTGGTGGTGGCCAGGAGGGGCAAGACCAGCCTATGGACGACAGTGGCGGTGACAATGACAATGCCAATGACAATGGCAGTGGCAACGCGGCGGAAGAGGGTGAGGGTGAGGGTGAGGATGGTGGCGCGCGGAAGCGGCACTGTGGCGAGGGCAAGGCCAAAGACAAGGAGCCAGAGGACGGGCATGGCAACAAGTGATATACAGCCAGACAGACAGACAGAGAGGTGCACTCACTGCACAGGCAGCTAACAGACGGCTGGCTGGCTGGCCCACTGGACTGTCCAATCCGATGCAATGCGGACGGACGTAGCATCCATCCATCCATCGATCCATCGATCCATCCACCATCCCATCCACACGGCACAGAAAGGGAAGGACGTTACTTTTTGCAAGCAGCTTTGTCATTCCGACACACCCACAGACATGTGCGTGTGCGTGTGCGTGGTTGGTGCATGACATCAAGGTATGTGCGTTCTGCTGCCAGGGTGGGTGTTGTGTTGTGTATCATATCATAGCTTGGGCGACGATAGAGAGTCACGAGACAAATCCATGCGCTGATATGTGAAGGGCATTCTTTGTTCGATGCGGTTCATCGACATGCACAGAGGCAATCCAAATGTCGTCATGTGTGTGTGTACTGCTTGTGCGTCTGCAGACCTGACCGCTGCAGTGGCAGTTGACATACTACCACCGACCCTTGTCAAGGCAGACACACAACACAACAGCACCCCACACGAGAATCACCACTGGCGGGACGGGATCAGCAAGCAGCACATGAGACCGCCACACCGACCATCCATCCATCGTGACATCCATCCATCGTGACAGCAAAAAGACCACTCACGTCTGTCTGTCTGTCTGTACACAAGGAGGCTGGGCAGGTAGGCTACAACCCATCACATACACACACACACACGACCCACCCTCATCTCTCATCTCTTGGCAAGTTTGCTCAGCAATGGCGCCCTACTCGGCTTCTGTTTCGCCAGCAGCCCCTCGATGCGACTCCTCGGCCCGTCCGAGCGGAGGAAGCCGTTGCCGTTGCGCGCCTTCTTGGCTACCGCATCTGCCAATGCCGCTGCGGGCGCACTGCGCTTCTTGCCGCCCGCCCCGTTGCCGCTGCCGTCGAATATCGACTGTGTCTCGATGTTCTTGCGCCTGTGGTGTTGCCGCACGGTGGCACTGGCGCCCTTGAAGCGCACGGCAGACGCCTCGACGCGGTCCTCGTGGCTCTCGTCGAGCAGGGGCATGGCGAAGTTTTTGGGTTTGCTGTCCTCCTCCTTCTGCCGCTCGATCTCCTCCTTCTCGGACCGGAATGTCCGCCGCAGGGCCGAGTTGAGGGCGTAGTGGTCCTCGCGATCGTCCTGCAGGTCGATGAGGGCCTCGAGTGCCGACTTCTTGGCCTCGGCCTTGCTCTTGTCGTCGGCAGTCTTCTCGAGTCTCAGCATGGGGTCAGCCCTGATGGCGGCCTGCTCCTCCTGTGACGGCAGCTCGGGCAGGTCGGCGTCCTTGGCGTCCCAGGTCTCGACCTTCTTGTGCAGGCCCTCGAGGATGACGTACTCGCACTGCTCGGGGTCGGTCTTGATGGCGAATGTGTTGTCGCAGTAGTAGCACGTCATGCGGAACTCCCAAATCTTGGTGGTGTAGTAGTTGCCGATGCACTTCTTCTCGGCGTTGAACCGCACCCCCTTGGCGATGTAGGAGCCGCACTTGGTGCAGATGCACTTGAACGGCAGCTCGAACCGGATGATGAGGATGCCCTCGTGCAGCCGCTTGGCGCGGTCGCCGAGGGCGCCGTGGGAGCCGCGGTACTTGTTGAGGGAGCCATGCTGAGGCCCGTAGGACGGACCGTAGTAGTAGTTGTCCGCACGAGCAGCCGCTAACGAGCTCATGATGCCAACACAAACCGACCAAACAACGTGTCACTGACCAACCAGCGAGAAACCTAACAAAGCCGCTCTTGCAGCAGAAACAAACACTGTCGCTCGTTTTCCTCACAGCAGCATTCCCTCTTTGTGCGAGCTGAGATTTCTCGTGAAACGTATGCCTACTGACGTGTTTCCATACTGCCTCAGGCGAAGGAATTTGACGTTCTTTCGCACTCCTGTCACAGTTCAGCACTTTCCCGTGTTGAAAACCGCTGTTATCGCTACATCCCGGCTTGTCGTGTGTTAGCACGTAGCTATCGGAGCTGTGAAGTCCCTTTGCATCGCTTGGAGGTACCGCTGACAGAATGCAGATCTTCGTGAAGACCTTGACCGGTGAGGGGGAGGGCGGGGGGAGGGGGAAAGGGCCAACACACCAATGGTGGTGGCGAGGGGTGCCCACGGCGTGTCTCATCGGTGTTGATGCCTCTGGTGCGTGTGTTGTCTGCAGGCAAGACCATCACGTTGGACGTTGAGCCCTCGGACACCATCGAGAATGTCAAGGCCAAGATTCAGGACAAGGAGGGCATTCCCCCCGACCAGCAGCGCCTGATCTTCGCCGGCAAGCAGCTCGAGGACGGCCGCACCCTGAGCGACTACAACATCCAGAAGGAGAGCACGCTCCACCTGGTGCTGCGCCTGAGGGGAGGGATGCAGATCTTTGTCAAGACGCTCACTGGTCAGCAAACCGACACACACACATGCCGGGATGGCCACAGGCGGGCAGACACCGACACGAACGAACGCGGTGTTGGTGTCGTGCTGTGTGTCGGTCTCTCTGCAGGCAAGACCATCACGTTGGACGTTGAGCCCTCGGACACCATCGAGAATGTACGTAATGGGTCACAGACAGCCGCATACCACCCCCCAGCCACCACACCACAACACCCGCCTTAACGCACTCGTCCGTGTGATGTGCGATGCGTGTGGTCAGGTCAAGGCCAAGATCCAGGACAAGGAGGGCATCCCGCCCGACCAGCAGCGTCTCATCTTCGCCGGCAAACAGCTCGAGGACGGCCGCACGTTGTCTGACTACAACATCCAGAAGGTCAGCCAGATGCACATGCACATAATCGAGGTGACCCACTTCCCCATGTGTGTCGCTGGTTGATGTCCGCTCGGCTTGCAGGAGTCTACGTTGCACCTTGTGCTGCGCCTGAGGGGTGGCATGCAGATCTTCGTGAAGACCCTTACTGGTCAGCAAACCGGCCACGCGACTGAATCTGGTGTGCTCGTCATCTTGTGTGCGTCGCTCTGCCTGCAGGCAAGACCATTACGTTGGACGTTGAGCCCTCGGACACCATCGAGAATGTCAAGGCCAAGATCCAGGACAAGGAGGGCATCCCGCCCGACCAGCAGCGGCTGATCTTCGCCGGCAAGCAGCTCGAGGACGGCCGCACCCTCTCGGACTACAACATTCAGAAGGTCAGCCATTCACACAGCTAGAGACACACATGAGATGGCATCTTGACCCACACGTGTGGCTTTGGTTGTCGTCGCTTGGCTTGGCGTGCAGGAGTCGACCCTCCACCTAGTGTTGCGCCTGAGGGGCGGTATGCAGATCTTTGTCAAGACGCTCACTGGTCAGCCGCGCCGCGCTCACCCACACCCGCTGCAGAGGGCCACAGACGTGTGTGGTGTCGGTGTGTTGGTGTGCGCTGTGCAGGCAAGACCATTACGTTGGATGTTGAGCCCTCTGACACGATCGAGAACGTGAAGGCCAAGATCCAGGACAAGGAGGGCATCCCGCCCGACCAGCAGCGTCTCATCTTCGCCGGCAAGCAGCTCGAGGACGGCCGCACGTTGTCGGACTACAACATCCAGAAGGTCAGTCCGTAGGCATGGCACACGGCCCACACATCCATCCTCATTCGTGTGTCGTGTCGGTGCTGATCGTGTCAGGAGTCTACGCTGCACCTGGTGCTGCGCCTGAGGGGAGGCATGCAGATCTTTGTCAAGACACTCACCGGTCAGCAAACCGACACACACAGCTCACATGAGGCAGGACATTTCTTCACTGCTTTGGTGGATGGCGTGCAGGCAAGACCATCACGTTGGACGTTGAGCCCTCGGATACCATCGAGAATGTCAAGGCCAAGATCCAGGACAAGGAGGGCATTCCCCCCGACCAGCAGCGCCTGATCTTCGCCGGCAAGCAGCTCGAGGACGGGCGCACCCTGAGCGACTACAACATTCAGAAGGAGAGCACGCTCCACCTGGTGCTGCGCCTGAGGGGCGGCCAGTGAGGTCCTTGTTTGACTCGAAGATAGGCAGCCAGCGGGGTAGCGGCTGGTTGATGGAGGGGGCGGGTTGGGGATGAGTGTATGGTGACAATGGTGTGCAGGAGGGGTGGCATGGTGTCGTGGACTGACTGATTCCATGTGTTGCATGCGTGTGTCTGTATGTGGTGCCGACACACCTGTTTGCACACAAGAGAAGTACAGTGCCTCGGCCGCAGTCTTGTCAGCCGCCGTTTGGATGTCCATCATGGCGGGCTGCACCACAGCTACAAAAGCGGGTGTGTTGCAGACCGTCAAGGTGGGCTTCTCCATGGCGGCGTAAAGGGGGACGGACAGACGGATGTATCATGAATGGAAGATAGACCGACGGAGAGTGTATCTCGTTCGTACTCCGAGAATTTCGTGCCTTCACCCATGTGTGGAAACCCATGTGTCAAACCAATGTGAAAAATGTCCAAGCCAACGCCGCCATTCGGCGTGCTCACCAAACAAAACATTGCCAGCAGCATCGACTGTAGCAAAACACGAAACTCGTCAGGTATCGGCCCTCTTCTGCACTCTTGCACACCTGTCTGTCTGGCGCTGGCCCCTGTTGTGGGCAAAAACGCCCACACAGGCCATCAACATCGCACCCATCGCCACGACATAGCGGGGCATTGACAAAATACACAAGACAGCAACCAACAGAATCGCGACAAAGACAGCAACAAACACCCCCCATCCACCACCCGACATCGGCGGTGTGGCGTCCCTGTCGGCGGCTGTGTGGGGCTGCATTGACTCCTGGGTAGACAAAGAGGCGGTGAACGACACGTCCACATCCCGCTTCACCAGCTTGCCGGCACTCGTCCCCTCCCCCCTCCTCTCGCGATGATGCCGCCTGCCTGGCCGTGGGGGACGGCGCCCACTGCTGCGATCCGGTCGGCCCCCCCTCTCCCCTCCCCCCTGTAGGCCAGTCGACTCCTCGAGAGGGAACTGATAGTGCTGGCTGATGTACTCCCACGCCTCCTTCCATGAGCCCACACAGCGTTCGGCACCGCCCTCATGCAGATTGGAGGTCGGCTCGGCCCCCCAGCCCACACCCACGGGGGTCACGCCGGCGTTGCGGGCCATCTGCATGTCCAGCCTAGCATCGCCGAGAAAGAGGGCGTTCTGCTGGTCCACGCCGAGCTCCGACAGGATCTCTGTGACCATTTGTGGGTTTGGCTTGCCGAGACATTCTGTCGGTGTTCGGGAGGCCGCGAAGAGGGGCCGGAAGCCGGTTGAGTCGAGCTGCACGTTGAGGCCGCGGCGGGACTTGCCCGTGGCCACCGCCAGACGGACACCACGACGCCGGAGGGCATCAAGGAAGTTGCGGGACCCGTCGAACGGCTCAACCTGACGAAAAGAATGAAGACAATGTTGCAATGGGGACCTCTGTATGTGTATGTGTGTGTGTAGATCGATGTACCTGTGTCTCGATTTCCCTCCAGTGTGTGCGGTATGCGGCCTTGATCTCTTCGTGCGTCTCTTGGTCATCGTCCGGACAGAGCACCAGGGGCACGTCATCGATCGACAGGCCAATCGTCTCGCGAATCTCCCTCTCCAGACGCCTCTCGTCCATCGGCGGATCAGGCTCATGGCCACAGTCACCAGAACCATCAGCCGCCTGCCGTCTCCTCTTGTTGTCGCGAGCGGTCTTCTTGCCCTCCTTGACGGCCCTTGCCCAGCACCGGATGATCGACGTCACCGAATCGACCACAGTGCCGTCCCTGGTGCAAGAAGCATTACAGTGGCCCATGCATACACCGCTGCGCACCTGCCCCGGTCACCCACTTACCAGTCGAAGCAGACGCATCGCAGGACGGGCTTGTCGGAGACCGCCTCCCTCACATCGTGGCCGACAGCCGCCTCGTCATGACAAACATCGTCTGGCGGGTCGTTCCCCTCCTCGCCGCTAGCCCTCTCGTCCCCAGCATCCTGCTGCCCTTGGTCATCACCCGGCGGATCGGCAGATGCCGTGGCGGCCACATCGCCACTCTCCGTCGCGCCCCTGGTAGGAGCAGGGGCGTGCTGGTACACAGGGGGCTCCTCAGTGAGATCATCAAAGGAATTCCTTTGCACAGATTGGCCCTCGTCAGATGGCGACACGGGAGAGGCCATGGCGTCGGGGCATGAAGGGGAGCGCCGTGGGGTGGGGGGAAGAGACGGGGGGAGGGAGAACGACATGCTGGTACGGAGGCCGCCCAGTCTCGATACAACGATGTCCTCATGCCCGAGACGCAACCGATCGACCTCTTTAAGAGTCAGTTCCCGCACAGGCTTGTTGTCGGGGCCCTCGACCGCGATGGATTGCGCCTCTGTCGGCTCGGGGAGGGCGCTTGTCGAGACCGTCGCCTGCTCCGGCGCCGCGCTCGTGGCAGCATCCACAGTTGAAACGGGTGTGGGTGTGGGCGCTTCCGGCACAGCTGCCGGTGGCTGCTGTGACTCTCCCTCAATCACGTCGTCCGATGCCAGTCTCCTTGTGTCGTCATAGGGGGTGGCTGTGGGCACATCAGCGACATCAGGGGCCAGGGTGATGGCCGCATAAGGGATGGCTGGGGGAGGTGTGGGTGTGGCGTGGTCAGAGGGCGACGCCTCGCTCAGGTCCAGCGACACGCATTTGTCGACCACACTCGCCGGCCGGCTGGCACTGTCCGCCTTGCCGGAGGCTGCGGTCTTGTCCTGTGGAGACATGACAGCGTCCTCTAGGATCGCCATGATATCTTCCGCTGCCTCGTCGAAGAACGCCTCGTCGTCCATCTCACTGCCCACAACCACGTCGTGCCCTTGAGGCAGCAGCGGTGGTGGCGACACCAGCCGAGCGCCCTTGTCCCACTGGTCGTCTGCAACCACACGCGTGAACCTCTCGGTGCACGCCGTGCAGCCGCTGGGGACCATGTAAGATGGGATGGAGGAGAGGCCCTCAAACATGGACCCCTGGGGGGCCGACTGGTGGTTGAGCAGCTGGGACTGCAGCTGCTCAACCGTCTTGGGAGGGGAGCGGGATGACGCCGACACGGGGACGGCAGACGCAGAGGAGAGGAAGGATATGGGAGACCCGAGGGCGTTGGTGGCGTCTGGGAGCATGGTCTCGTCGAGGGGGTGCTGCTGCAGGGTGAGCCGATTGAACCGCTTCCATGCACGTTGGGAGGTCAGCAGATGGGGGCCGGTGGGCACGGTGAGGGTGCCATGGTGCTCTTGGTCCTCATCGATGCTGGCCTGATGGGACTGCCACTGCCACTCCTTGTGCGCATCGATGGCGAAGGAAAGCTCCTGCCGCCTCCTGTGTGTCATGACGTAGCCGGTCGCCTCCATCTCGTTGTTCCTGGCGGACATCGGGGTGACCGACCGGGTGTTGACAGAGGGGGTGAAAGAGAACACCGACTCGACATGTTGATCATGTTGCTGCCGTGGTCTTGCCTTCTTCTGGCCGTCCCTGACAGGGCTGAGCACCGCAGGGGCAAAGCGGTCGAACGGCGATCGACCTATGTGTCTGGCATCCCTCAGCGGCCCCGCGTCCCACTCCACCCGCGGCACCTTGCCCTTCTCCCTCACCACTTTGCCGGTCTCGGGCACGTCTGCCGGTGTGAGCAGCAGCCCTTCCTTAGTCCGCCGCAGCGTGAAGGCCAGGCTGTCGATGGGCACCTGCATCACCGCCCTCGGCTTCCGATGAGGACGCCGCGGACGCTGGCGCGCGCGTCGAGCAGGTGACGGGGGATTCTGGGCATGCGAGGGTGCGTCGTGACGCATTGAGGGTCCTGCCGTGTAGGCCGCCGTGTGGGTCTCCTGGTCCTCCCCTCCCCAGGGCGACAGCGACACCGGCGTCTCATCGCCTGGGACCAGAGGCACCTCGACGGGCTCGGCAGACACCACATGCGGCCCTTTCTTCCGTGAGTGGCGCCGTTTGTCCACCAGCACAGTGCCGCTCTTGCGTCTCGTCGTGTCGGGGGGCTCCGCATGCGTCCTGGGCGTCGGCTCGAGGCGTCTCTCGGCCTGGGGTAGAGCCGCAACCTTCTCATCTTCTTCTCCAACTGACTGGTCGCTGGTTGCTCTTGACGGCAGAGACGGCGACAGCGATGCCACGGTGTCGGCACGGGTGGCTCGCTGCCGCTCGGGCGGCCTCCTTGCCATCGATGGAGCTCGTGAAGAGCCGGTCCGCCTGCGAATGTGAAGAACCGGTGACGAGACTGACCGCCTGGCCGTCGCAAACCTGACGGTCGAGGGGGTCTTGCCGGTGGATGTGGCTGACGCAGGGGAGCCTGGTGAAGCTATGGTTCGACGTGTCTTGGTGGTGCCAAGGGGGGCGCTGAGCCGAGATGCCGGTGCTGTCTTGTTAAAATCGCTCTGGTAGGACCCCCTCCCTGCTGCGACGTAGGGCGTTGGTGGCAGGCTGATGGCGTCGATGCCGCTCCGCTGCTTCCTCCTCCTCGCTGCGCCCTTGGAAGTTGGCTTGCGACGGAACGAGCGACGAGATGTTGTGATTGTCTCCTTCAGATGCACGTCCACCCACTCGGGCACCATAGCTATCTTGGAATCGAGCCGCTCAATGCCCCCGTGACCCGCCAGACGACCGAGCGACAGCCGGCCCATCCGACCCGTCAGCGACCTGCGCTTTGAGCGAGAAGGGGGGCGGGATTGCTGCCCCTGCTGTTGGTGCTGGTTGGCTGTGGATGGCCGTCTGCCCCTTGCTGCAGGGTGAGACCGCGGTGAACCGGTGGGCTCGCGTGCCGGGGGCTTGGGGGCCGCCGATGAGAGCACAGGGGGCATTGTGGACGCCTGTCCCCTCTTCTTTCTGGTCACCACCGGGGGACTCGACAATGGCAGGGATATCCCCTTCTCGCTGGGCGGCGGTGACGGTGACGACACGTCGGGCGCCGAATGACGAAACGCGGCTGCCTTGGCCAGGGGCACCGCCTTCGCCGCAGGCTCCACATCTCTCTGCTGCGGCGTGGGGATCGTCACAGCTGCCGCATCCGTCACCTTGGCCGGTACAGCTTTTCTCGCCCGCATCAGGGGGCCGCCAGCGGTCTGCTCCACGATGCTGCCTCTGGCGATGGGGATGATGTCGACGCGTCCCGATGGCTGCACGTCGATGCCGAGGATTGCGTGCTGCGAGTCGAGCCTCTTGCTGGGAGGTGATGTGCGCTGGTCCAGGAGCTGCAGGGTTTCGGATGGAGACGTAGGACCCGCTGCGGCAGCTTCGGGCTGCATGGCTTCACGTGCAGTCTCGATGTACTCGTCGCAGAGGTCCATCATCGACCTGTGGACAACCGCACCTCCCTCCCTAAGACAGACACAGAGCCCACAAAAGGAACCATCCATCCATCCATCCACCGATGCGCATCGATCGTCGGTCTTTTCTTGCTTACTGTGTGTGTTGGTACTGGATGTTGAAGAACATGGCAAGGTTCCAATACACCTCTGGCGCCTTGAGGCGCAAGATCTGGGAGGACGGGCACCGCTGACCCCACATACGGCTATCCATATCGGGAAACGAATACGAATAGCCAAAGCTGAGCCGCTCCCCGCCCGACTGAGAGGGCGACATCGACATCGATGCCGCCGCCGGCGACCCCCCCTCCGTCTGCGATGCAGCCATGGGCGCGACGGTCGAAAGGCTGACTCCCGTCATCTCGGCCAGGATGGTGAGGATGCCCATGAGAGTCAGGAAGGGCACCTCCCGGCCGGCGTCGCCCGCCTGTGTGGCCGAGGAGAGCACGAAGTAGGGGGGCTTGAGGGCAGGGTCCTGCCCACACTTGCCGCACGCCACAGTGACGCTCTCTGCCTGCCAGCTGCGGAGCGACTGGATGCTGCGCCGGCCGGGCTGCGTGTCTTGCAGGTGGTGCCTGTCGGTGGAGTAGAGGCCCACGGCCGCCTTGAGGCGGATGGTGGGTGAGTCTGTGAGGGGGGCGGCGCAGGAGAGAGACGGGCAGGAGAAGCCGGGAACCCCCGTGCAGCGGCGATAAATCTAGAGAGAAAGAAGCGACCAAGGACAAAGCGTCATGCGTGCACGGTTGGCTCTCCGGTTGTCGTTTGCTCTCACCTCCCAGAAGGCGATCTTGAATCCACATGTCGGGCACTGCGAGCCACACTCGACCACGTCACGCAGCGCCCCCCACAGCAACGCATCCTCCTCCCCCTCCATCCCCGCCAGCTGCCGCATCGCCCGCTCGAAGGGCGTGTCCAACATGATCCCATTCAGCAACATCGTCAGGGCGTCGGCGAACTGCCCCGCCATCATGTTGGTGGTGCTGCGGGGCGACCGCGCCGCGCGGGCCATGTTGCGGAAGACGGGCGATGTGCCCAGGTCGGGGGAGACAGACGGTGAGGGATGAAGGCTGGGAGAGGGAGGGGGGGAGGCCGAGGAGGACGAGTGGCGGGAGGGCTGCTCGGGGCTCCCGAGCCGCAGCTGCAGCCATGGCCACCTGTCGCTCCCCCATGGCACCGGAAAGCGCGCGGGGTCCAGCTGCCGGACTGGGAATGGGCGGCCCTTCACAAGTAGGTCCATCAACACACTTGGGGGAAGCCCCGCCAGGTCTTCGACAGGTAAGTGTGTGGGTGGGGTGGCCGTGGTGTCGTCCATGGGCATGACGATTGTCGTCTCCACCATGTCCCTTTTGGCCATTTCCCTCTTGACCCACTCACGGAACCCCGATATGTTGCCGAACTCATACACAGGCCCCTCAGCAGCAGGGGTGGCCACACTCGTCCCCCTGGTGGACGTCCTCGAGCGTGGCGCCGTGGTGGTCCCGTCGGCTGCCTCGAGCAGGTCGCCGCCTGTGTGTGACGATGGGCTCGGGACGGGTGTGGACGAGGGGGTGGCGCTGCGGACACGGCGAGTGCTCGGGGGTGCGTCTGCGGCTGAAGTGGCGTCCTTTCTGAGGGGACTGCTGCCGGTTGCTGGGGTGGGCTCGACCCTCGACACACAGCTGGAGCTGAGCAGGGAAATAGACAGACAAAAAGGCATGTTGATGCACCCAATCCATCCTTCGAGGTGTTTGGGTGTGATGTGGCTGGCCTACTTGAATCGACTGCAGAGGCTGCCGAAGAATGCCGCTGCCCTTGCGGCCTCGGGCGTGGGGTGATGGTGGCGGTGATGGCTCTCCGCCTCCCTCCTGCCTGGCGACGCATCACGGCTGCTGGGGCGACCATGGCTCCTGCACCACCATCACACAACAAACGCATCAAAAGCAAAGCAAGTCTACGCATTGTTGCCACCGAGTAGAGCAACGGGCGACCTGACCTGATGAATATCTCCCATGCGTTGGTCTGCATCAGCCCTCGCACAAAGGGCTCGGCCGTCTCCAACCCACGACTGAAGAAACGCACCGACCGACACAAAGAGGTAGAGCCGATCCGACGCATCCATTATCCCTTTTCCCTTGCTTCTTCTTTCCCCGCTCACCTCTTCAGCTCCGCGCAGAACTCCTCAACCAGAAAGACAGGCTCGTTCGAAGCCGCGTCGCCCTGCCCCTCATCCCTCTCGATCTTGAGCGGCGCCGGTCGCCTGGGGCCGCGTCTCTCGTCGCCCCGCCCTCGGTGCTCATCCTCTTCTCCGCCCTCCTCATGGGACACCTTGCGCGACGTGTCCTTGCTGACCGGCACAGATGGCTGCGGCGAATGCATCAAGGACACGCTGCTGCTCTGGGTGGGGGTGATGGTCGAGTAGGCCAGCGAGAGGGCGGGGGAGGGGAGGAGGGAGGTCCGCTGGGTGCCGGTCGGCTGCACCTGGGGCACGGGGACGTCAGGCAACGCCGTGGTGCCGTCCTGTGGCTGCTTTGCCGCTGTCCCTAGGTCCTGCTGTTGCTCGGGGCGGGCATCTTGGTAGCGAATGAAGTCACTGACACGCAGAAACCACACGCACAAGGGAAAATACGCGGACGCTTTGATCGCTATCTCTGTGTGCGTCTGTCTGTGTCTGTATTAAGTTACCGGTAGCAGTGGAGCAGCTTCACCAGGACGGTCGCAAAGGTCGCTTGCGTGATCAGCCTGATCTCGTTCTCCTCACTCTCCGACGGCACCGCACCACCAACAACCCTCCCACTCCCCAGCTGATGCGCGTCGCCCCCGCGGCTCTCAGGTCGGCTCCCAGTCGTTTGGTGATCGACATCCTGCTGTGCGTCTGATGGGGATAGCAGGGGCCGCTTGGGGCACAAAGGCGAGTCGTAGGAGGACATCACTTGTGGGTAGAGAGACCGGATGACTCGCTGGGACTCGGCCTCTGTGGTGGTAGGGATGGACGACGTCAGCGAGACGGCTGATCTCACCCTGCCGGGCGCGTCATGTCTCCCCCACACGGATTTCTTGCTCACGCTGCTCGACGCCTGCTCGCTCAGCCGCTCCAGCATCATGCCCTCCAGCTCGGCCTTGGCGGCGCTCTCAGGAGACGCCGAAAGCACCTCCACGATGCTCGTCTGCGTGACGTGCTCAGGAGGGATCGCCGACTTGCCCGCCTCGGTCGTGTCCGCGTAGTCGAAGTCGGCCCAGAAGAGCGGATCGCGGTTTGGTCCGGGCAATGGTGTGGGGGGCGGGGTGGACTGAGAGGGAGGGGGGGCAGGGGGGAGGGGAGGGCCCCGTCCGCTCCCTGTGGTGGCCCAGTGCTCGGCGGCGCTGATGCTCTTGAGGTTCTTGAGGGCGTGCAGCAGGAGGGTGGGCAGCTGCGGGAATGCCGCTGCCTCTGGCGTGGCGGGGCCGAGGATCTTGTCCCGGTCGACGTCGAGCAGGAAGACGTCCTTCGGGAACGACTTGGTGAAGTCATCATAGGACACCATCGAGCCGTCGTCTGTGTCAGCTGGCACCTGCTGCTGTGGCCCATCCTGCTTGGGCAAGACCCATGAGGGCACGAGCATGCCGCAGAGGAAGGGCGCGGGCATCTCCACGAGCTCGGATCTCTCGCTGGGGATGAGGGGCAGGTACGGGTGGTGCCACTCGAAGGGAAACAGCAGCTGCCGGAAGATCTCTGCCAGGTAGGTCAGGAGGGAGGCCCGCCGCGAGAGCATCAACACCTTCCGCTCAAGCAGCAGGAGGGCGAAGACGTTGACGATGCGATCCAGCTTCAGACACGCAAAAAGCGCCCGATAGCTCAGCTCCCGGCCGCCGCTGCTGCACCCGCCCGGCAGATCTATCGCCCGCAGGTGTGTGTCACCGATGCCAATGTGCAGCTTGACTGACGGCCGGGCGAGACCCGCACCGCTGAGGTCGCCGAGGAGACGGCCGATGGTGCTCTCAATAGCAGCAGAAGAGTGGTCACTCGACGGGCTGGGCCGGGTGGGTGTGTTCAGCAGATGCCGCAGGAAGGACATCTTGGCGGTCCTCTGCTGCAGCTGGTAGAGCTCATAGAGGACACTCTTGAGCGAGCTGATCAGCGGCTGCCGCGTCATGAAGCACAGGCACGTCGGCACATAGACGATGGATGAGCCCGCAGGGCTGTCTCGACTGTAATCCTCAAGGTCGGCCTCGTCGAGCCCGTCCTCCGTCACTGCGACCATGCCGTCGATCAGGCCGCTGCTCTGCATCTCGCCATGGTCGATATCCCACGGCCAAGCCCGCGGCTCCCACACCATCAGGCAGCACACGTAGGCCCGCCGGGACAGTCCCCATAGCACCGTCGAGAAGAAGACAGGTCCGGGGCACCCCTGCTCTTCGCGATAGAGCCACAGCCCCTCTGGCGGGCAGAATGACGTGAGTGTCTGCTGCATGGCCGCACTGGGCGAACTGTCCTTCCGGCTGCTGGGCGAGGAGGGCCCGCCCATGCCGGCAGACAGGAGGGAGTGAGGGGATGTGGCGGGGCTGTGTGATGGATACCACTCGACAATCTGGCCCTTCAGGGGCGTCAGGAAGGCCTCTTGCGGCCCCCTCGATAGATGATCCTTCAACACGGAGTCTTCCACACCTGCATGAACCAGACAAACGCAGAAAAGCGCAATATTGGCTGCTGCCAAGATGTGATAGCATTCGTGCTTGTGCTGACCGATGCGGAAGAAGACGTCTGCGATGTGGAGTGAGGCAGGGAGGCCTCGCTGGGCTCTGGGAGAGCCACTTGGCATCTCGAGACCTATTAATCGTCGTCTTTAGGCAGCGGCTCGGCTCAGATTGACACTACAACCAATCTACAACTTGCACCTGTTCCCCCTTCCTGCTTCCCTTCGCAAGCTCGCAAATGAGTTACGCGCTGCCGACGAGGAGAAGAAGGAAGAAGCAAATGAGGAGATTCAGGCCGCCTATGCTCAACTGAGTTGAGATGTGACAGGTCATCTTTGGAGTCGAGCGAGAGGCGTGCTGCACACAATGAGCTACGAGTGGAGCAGCCTCGCCCTCTGCGGGAGCTTCGTCCTCTGTACAGCTGCGCTGTGGTTGCTGGTGGTGGTCATCCGGGGTTTGATGATGCTTTTCTTGGACTCTGACCTTCGCACAGCGATGGCAAGGAGCCACGAGACCTTTGAGGGGCGAGTTGTGTGGATCACAGGTGAGGAACGAACCGCCACAAGAGAATGGCACCTCCCCTGTGGCTCAATGTGTGTTGAATTTCATTGATCCATTCAGGTGCGTCGAGCGGCATTGGTCGGGCTATGGCAACACAGCTGGCCAAGGCGGGAGCGCGGCTGATCATCTCAGGCCGCAATGTCAGCGCCCTGAACGAGCTGCGGAGCCACCTGCTGACCCTGCAGCCGCGTGGGGCAGCACAGGAGGTCATCCTCACCGGCAAGACCATCGACGAGGCCGCCAATGCCAACCCCACCCACGACCTCTCGCCCTCTTCCTACCAGTCGACCGCCGACACCGACAGCAAGCCGCCATCGCCATACGCCCGCAACGGCAGAGTCAGCACAGAGAGCTTCTCGTCTGTGGCGAGCGCTGACAGGCCTACGGAGCGGGTGGTGGTCCTGCCGTTTGATCTGTCGTCCCTGGACACGCTGCCCGAGTTCAGCACCAGGGCATTTGACACCTTCGGCCGCATCGACATGGTCTGCCTCAACGCTGGCGTCAGCCAGCGGTCGCTGGCCGAGCAGCTGCCCTTCTCGAGCGTGAGGCACATGATGAGTGTCGACTGCCTCTCGCCCATCTGTATCGTCAAGACGCTGTTGCCGCGGCTGCAGCAGCAGGGCGGGGCGAGGATCCTCATATCCAACACCCTGCAGGCCAAGATCGCCCTACCTGGGCGGTCCAGCTATGGCGCGTCGAAAGCGGCCCTCAGATCGTAGGACACACACACACACACACACACACGAACACTGCAGGGGATTGATGGGTGCGTGTGTGTATCCGATCAGTTGGTTTGACAGCCTGCGTGCCGAGCTAGAGGGTCAGAGGCTCGCCGACGGCATCACTGACAAGGCCTCTCAGCTGCACGTCACCCAGTGCCTGTTGGGCTACGTCAACACGTCCCTCTCGCTCAACGCCATCGGTGCAGGCGGCCAGCGGCACGCCGCTCACGACCCCACCACGTCAAAGGGCATGAGTGCGGACCGGGCGGCGCAGCTGATGCTGCGGGCGGCCGGGGCGCACGTCGAGGAGGCGTGGATTGGCAAGAGGAAGGAGCTGTTGCATCTAAATCTGTGCCACTACGCCCCCGACTTGTTTGCATGGGGGCTGCGGCGGCAGAATCGGAAGAGGGTGCTCGAGCTGCGTGGGCACAAGAGGGATTGACAAGGATGGGCAGGGGGTGGGAGGGGGATGGGGCGGTTGGTGGTGTTTTTGAGTCAGGTGAAGTGTACAGACAGACAGATACACAGACAGAGGATCCTTATGGCTTTTTCTCCCTTCTTCTCCCTCCCTGGCTGGCTTTTTCATCCGTCCACAGCCACCAGATTATCTCTCTCTACACTGTGCTGCACGTACCAAGTTTTGCCATCCATCCATCCACTTGCTGACCGATCACCCCATGTAATTCATCTCATCTCGACTTATCAGGACGGCATCATGGTGTCCCGTGCCAATTTTTGCGTCTCGTCTTGTGCTGTGGTGTAATGGTACATGGGTGCCATACCAATACACACATACATACATTGTGCAGACAAAGGAGGGAGGGATGAAGTGCAGTGACTGTGTGGGTGGATGGATGGATGGGATGGGTGGCCTCATTGTGTGTGTGAGACGCATACTCACTAACCTAAACATCATCGAAGACACGCCATCAATCAGCATCGATGGAACCGCTATGTGCCAAGCAGGAGATAGATACTAATTGGAAGCGGCACAGCACAGAGGCGTGAGCAAACCCACAGAAAAGAAACACACACTACACAGACACGCAACCACAACCACGCGCAGCACGATGCACATTCACACACACGCACACACAGATGTGGGACAGAGTGTGTGTGGGGTTAGTGCGTGGAGTCGACGCTTCTTTCGATATCTCCCTGTGCATGCTGACACACGGACACGAACTTCAGCGGGGTAACTTCAGCGCGCCTCGCTCGCATAGCTTCGCTCCTTACGCCTCGCTCGCATAGCTTCGCTCCTTACGCCTCGCTCCGCATAGCTCCACAGTGGCCAGGAAGTAACCGTTGGCCAGCGGAGGGGGCCCAAGGGGGGCCAGACCGAGCTCGCAGTCTTCCTTCCGAACTTCCAGCCCTCTCCTCCCTCACCCCGAGCGTCGCAGATTCTCGCGCAGTGAGAAATCAATGCTTGTCGAGATTCTCTACGAGACGGAGGAGACGGCTTTCTTTTCTTCTTGCTCTCCAGATTCTCAGACACGCTGAATCCGAAATCCGCCTCCTTCGCGGCACTGCAGGCTGACATCATTGCAATGCATCATGGGCACCGCCACCGCGACCACCAGCTCTCCCCCATCCGTCCTCAGCGGCCTGTCATCCCTCTCAATTGATCCCTCTCACTCAGTGCGACGAAAGCGATTGGAACGAAAGCCTTTAGCCCTCCAGGTGAAGAAGGGTGTGGACGAGCTGAGGAGACGAAAGGCTTCCACAAACATAGTAAGCGCGCTTTGTTCCTTTGCAGGTTACCGGTAGGTTCGAAGACGCGCCGCATCCATGAGTGGCCAGGAACGCCGCCAAAGGTCTCCAGGGCGACAGTCTGACGTGCAGGTGGGGAGAGAGAGCCACAGGGTGCCCACCAGCACGAGCCATGTCATGAGTGTTGCTCCTCCTCCTCAGGCTGGTCCTGATGCGCACCTCACCACAGCCTGTCTGTTAGTCAGTGGCTGACCTTCCCACTCATCTGCTGAGCGGCCTGGCTGTCTGCTGTTAGGGTCAGATCAAGAACCTCAAGGCTGCGGAGAACCAGACGGGCGGACGAAAGGGAGACAGTGACGAACGGGGAAGGAGTGTCACACCGGTAAGCTGACGGCGGGCAAACGGGCGGAAGGAACACAACACCACATCAAGTGCGTGTCATTTTGGCCTGGATTTAGGTGCCTTCGAGTCGCCCTGATCGTTTGGAGGTGCAGAGAGAGCATCACATGCACACGCGCAGAAAGAGGGAAGGGTGCTATGTCTGCAATGCTGTTCATGTCTCATGTGTATCTCGTCAGGGTGGGAGCATGTCGCCAGCTGAGCGCCGACGACTACTGGCCCGCTTCAAGTCGACCGAACCGGCCCCCAAGCGGAAGCGGTTCCATTCGACAGCTCTGCGTCCGGTCATGGAGAACGGCGGGGCGGCTGGTCCACCCATACGACCCGAAGAGCGCCGCACGCGCTCCGGCAAGGTACTCAGATTGGCTGCCTTCTCGCTCCGGGTGTGGTGCATGTGTGCATTTATGTGTGTATGTGTGCATGCGGATGGGAAGGTCGGGCCTCTTGCCCGAGAGACTGCCGCTCAGGAGGGGGAGGAACCGTTTAGGAACGAGGAAGAGGTCAGACCAACGACAAATGCACACACGTACAGCAGCATCCACCGGCACTTGCATGTCGTGCTCAGGTTATTGCGCGTCTGGAGGAGGCCTACAATCAGCCCAGCAAACCACTCCCTCCGGCTCGGTCCAACGAGGTGAGCACATCCGTTCACGTCAGTCACGGAAGAGGTGGATGTCCGTGGCCGTGTTGTTCTGTTGTTCTATAGCCTGCTCAGGGCGTGTCGTTTGGAGAGGGAGAGGACGCGATACCCCTTCGGCTCTTCGTCGCTGAGGGCGTATCTCTACCTAACATTCGTGTCAGCCATTGGCACACACACCATCCCAGACACACAAATGCGCGCAACCGTCACCTCTATGCCTTCTGTATCTTCAGCCTGCTGTGAGCATGGCTGAGAGGTCTGGACCATTCACTGGCCGGGAGGTGGCGGTCGACTCGCCGGCATCTACCCAAAGTAATGCAAACAAACAAAAGGATCATTCAGATATACGTCAAACCTGTTCTTTTCATTCTTTTCTTCAGGCGCCCCTCAGCCCACCACCAACACCAGGGGCTCGCCGGTGAGTGGGGCGCTGAGGGGAGGAAGCGGGAGGGAGGGAGGGAAGAGGGAGGGAGAGAGGGAGACGCCGCAGCCACCCATCCATCCATCCATCTATCCATCTATCATTGTCTTTCCTTGCCTTATCTCTCAGTCGAGCACATCATCGGTGCCTACTGCAGCCAGCCGTAAGAAACCAAGAAAGCAGCCAATCACGCACACGCACGTCTCCCTCCTTGCCTGCTTCCATTCAGGTCGCGCCATGACGACGCCGAAGCAGCCTGCCGCCCCCCCTCAGGTCAGGGCAGGCAGCTCACCAAAGGGCAGGGAGACACCGAACAGCGACCTGCCACTGTGTCTTGTGTCTGCAGGGGTCCGGCATCTCTTCAGCGGCGTGGCAGCCCACCGGTCAGGGCGTGTGCCTCAATGTCAGGTCCACGGCGGCGCCCAAAGCCAGCGGTACGTGATGGATAGACAGGTGGGACGACAGTCAGCGGCTGGCACTCATGGTAGCCTCTTCTCTCCTTTCAGCTCCTACTCTGAGCCAGCGAACCGGGCGCCATCTGCCGGCCTCAACAGTCGATTGCTTCGATACAGGGCCTGTTGTTTGGAGAGCACGCGATCACAGAGAGATACACAGAGCAACAATTGGTTGCTGGTGTGGTGCCTTGTGTCTCCAGCAGATGCACCGCTGCCTACATTTTATATTCGTCGACATCGGCGCCCTTCCTCCCCCAGTGTCCCTTTTCTGTCTTGGCGCGGAGCAGTTGTGTGCCCGTGCAGCACCTGTCTGCTTCGATCGCCTCCAAAATGTGGATTGATCAAGAGCGATGAGAAAGAGGAAACGTCTCTTAGCGCGTCCCCCCATCCCCATGCCACCCCCCACACACTGGCCACTGTGGACAGGCGAGAAATGTTGACAAGGCACACACCCACCAACGCTGTCACACCAGCCTTCCTCCCTTTGTGTCTCTCTGCTCTCCATTTCAGTACATTTCAGATGCGGCAATGTCTCTCCCCCGGCGGCACTAGCGCGCCTCCGTCTGAGGTCAGAATATGACCACATGATAGACGCACAATGTGCGTGTCGTCTTGTTGCTTTTGTCAGGACACTGGCCAAAGGAAGGACGGCCTGAAGGTCTAGTTGAGGCCTGTATGAGCACCGGCACACTCTAACAGTGACGAGATCTCATCAAAAAAGTGAGCGAATTTCAGGGAATCTGCCTTCATCTGGGGCAGCAAGCATCCTTTCTGCCTCTGTCTGCCTTTAATGGCCTCCTGTTGTCCGCAGAGAGGGGCGGCGAGATTTTCGCGCGAAGAGACAGACAAACCCCGCAAACCCTGATTTACGAGCTCGCATTAGTTTTTTCACATTTTTCGTCCGCGATTTGCTTCTTAGCCTTATTTCAGCGACGGATTCTTCACTTGTTTCTCTTTTTGGCTGGTTCTAGGCTTGTATTGTCCGCCTCGTCGCCCTCTACCCCTCCCAACTCGTCCGGATGCCATCCTCCACTTGTACGTCCACCGCCGTGCGCCGGGCGAGGCCCCGCCTGGTGATGCCCTGCCTTATGCGGGTCGGCCGGAGATTGTCTGGCGGCTGCAGAGTGCTCACGCACCTTCTTGTCGCATAAACCGACCGCATCAGGTGAGTACTAGTACATGTGTGGCCTCGTGCGTCTGTCTTGGCTGTGGTGATGGTGTGGTGCATGGCTGATGTGTAGGGACAAATGCATGGTGCATTTCGTTACAATGGGTGTGCTCACACATGCCCCCTCCCCCTGTCATGCCTGTGTGTGCAGATGAAATGGTGATTTCTTCTTTTGTTCCCGTCTCCTTTTCTCGACGCATTTATCTAAAGGTTGGCAAGTACCTCACTTAGTCTGGTCTGCACACACCAGACAACCCACGTCGGTGTCCTTGTCTGCTGCCTTTCAGAAACGCGATTCTCTACTTCGACGGCGGAAAAACAGGAAGACAGACATATTTAATCCATTGGTCAACAAATTCATCGCTGTCCATCGTTGTGTCTTGCAGCTAATCAGGAGGTAACTTCAGTTCTTCGACAACAAGAACCTTCTCGCCGACGAGAAGACAGGCACATCGATGACACACAAAGGTACTCGAGGTGAGTATCCGACTCAGAAATTCGGACTGTCAGAAGTTCGCGATGCACACTGTGAATTTTCAGCAGAATGTGGACAAGTCAGACATTTCATTCCTGCCGTCAGCGAGGGCTCTAGACATAGTGACGAACACCTGGCATCCCTCCCTTGTGTCTTGTTTTTCAGCTGAGCAAGAGAAGTCTGGCGGCACCGTTGTCGACCTTCCATTCCCGGTGGCCCCGAAGATACGTAAGCAAGGGAGGGAAAAAAGAGGAGAAAGCACAAATCTCTCATGTTTTTTCTCTATTTCCTCTGTGTGTCTACGCATACTTGGTCGCCTTGGTGCAATTAGGTTGCCGAAACGATGACAGGTGCGCAGTGACTGACAAGGCCGCCGTCCATTTTCATTTCGCTCTCTGTCATCATTCTCTGTTCGGGTGGACGACCCTCCAGCAGCTCAACCGGACCAAAAATCGCGCCATGGTGAGTGGGCACTCACACACACACACCTGTGGGTAAAGGAGGGCCACACAACAACACTCACCTGTGCCATGCATGTGTGATGGCATACGTGGGATATGCCAGTTTTACGGACCGTTCGCGGAGGGATGACCGCTTCAACCTATCGGTGAGGCTGAGGGAGAAGGTCGCGAGGGAGTTTGAGGTGGAGGAGGACCGCCTTAAGGCACTCGGCGGCTCTCCAAGCTGTCCAAGCGGCAGCAGGAGAACATGAAGGAGGCCAGGGCGAGGCGTGACTCACTGAGGAAACGGAGCGAGGAAGCGGCCAAGAAACGCTTCCGATTCTGAGCCAAGTGAGCAAAGACAGACAGACGGCGAGACATCCAGACATCTGCCTACATGACACTGACTTTGTCTGCTTCATGCAGGTCACCTGTGGAAGAGTCCGTCTTGTTGTTTGACGAAAGAGACTGGTGCACCCTCGAGGAGACGAAGTAAGTCAAGAGACACAGAGAGACACACAGAGAGGCAATTAAATTGGCGGATGGTTTCTGTCCTTTGTGTCTTCAGCATATTATATCGCTGCCTACATTTTATATCGGTCGAGTTCCTTGGTTATTCTACCGACGATGTGGAGAGGAGCTCAGAGTACAGCTTCGCCAGCCTTCACGAAGTTTGCTCTGGCAGTGGTAAGCGAATGGAGAAGGAAGGCGTACCTGATGGGCACGTACAATGACGTGTCTTTGCCTGCATGCTGCACGTGTCAGGTCATAGCATCGGTGCCCCACCACCAGCAGCGGAGCAGCGGCTCCTCGATGGGCAGCATGCCAGCTGGCCGGATGCCAAGGCGGCGCGAATAGGAGAGGGCACTCGCGGAAAGGTCCTGTGGGGACCCCTGCAGCCGCCCCAACACGGCCACGGCAGCGACGCGGCCATCAAGATGATCAGGCTGGATCGTTTCCCAGAGAGCCACAGAGAGGGGATTGCGAGGCAGATCGAGGAGGAGCGGCTGAGGCTGTTGGGCGGCGAGCCTCCCTTCCTCTCTCTCCTGGCCGCCAACACCGACCCCAGCCAGCCCGCCACCTACACAGACAACCAGGGCGTCCAGGAGAATGTCCTGTGCGTAGCCATGACGCCATTAGGTAAGAAAAATGGAACGGATGGGGGGAGGGAGGGAGGGAGGGAGGGAGAGGTGGCGTGGCTCTGCGTCTATCAATATCTTATTTCTATGACGTCTGCGTGTTATTGTGTGTGTGTGTGCAGGGGACGAGTGGGTGGAGCTGAAGCGGATTTTCGAGGGCACGCCCGAGGGGGAGAGGGCGCATGACGTCTCGGCGGCGCTGGCCAGGCTGGAGGAGGGCGGCTTTAGCGACAAGGCCATAACGGCTTTCGTCGATGACATCGGTGTCATCACGCGCGCCCTCCTCCTCGTCTGTGCCGTCCACATCGCCGCGCTACGGCAGGGCATCCTGCACTACGACGGGTTTTGGTCGAACGTCATGCTGCGCCGGTCCGCCCTGCTGCCCAGCACCCCAGCCACATCGCTCTCCCTCAACGACGTGTGGCTGCTCGACCTGGCCGACACCCTCATCATCCGGCCACCCACACCTTCCCCACAGACAGACATCAGTCCCCAACCACCCGCCCCGCCCTCCTTCATGGGCAGCCAGGCCGTCATGCTGCCCTCCAGCATCCCGAGGAGGTGGGCAGAAGGGAAGATGCCCGTGAGCACACGGTGGATCACCGCCCCTGAGCTGCTGCCCGCGACCGTGAGGCTGCCCGGCCCGGCTGACTCCCCACCACCGACGAGCTACTGCGCCCCGGGCACGAGGGTGCTCTGAGGTTCCGAGAGGAGCTGCGGCGGGAGGGTTTCCTGGTGGGCGAGGGCACGACGGAGGGGCTGTGGGTGGGGCAGCCCACCTCTGCATGGCAAATGGGCATGCCCGTCCACCGAGCCGCTGAGGGGCGCCCACCGTATGACGCCGTCTTCGACATATATGGCGTGTCCGAGGGCGACAGGAAGAGCAGGCACGTGCTATACGAGCGCCGGATGCTCGTGGAGTGGGAGCAGCACTACAAGCGTATCATCGAGCGGCCGAGTCCCGTCGAGCAGCTGCGTGACGAGGGCGGCTTTGAGTGGGTGGGGCCGTGGCTTGACACCCTCAGCACCATCCGCGAAAGAGAAGCCTGAGGCCGCGGCAGCAGGAGAGGGGCACGCTGGAGGAGATCAGGTGTGGGCACACAAAAGTCAAGAGACACATAGAGACATTTAGAAAGGCAATTAACCGGTTTGGCGTTGTCCATTGTGTCTTCAGCATGTGTATCGCTGACTACATTTTATATTTGTCGAGTCTGTGCATTCCTCATTGGGCGTCATGACGTGCCTCCAGCTAGTGCAATGGTAGGTGACATATGACACGAGTCTACATCGATGTTGCGATTTCGTTTGGTTGGTTTCAGGGTCGTATTGGTTTGCCGATTTCGACGTCCGGCATCAACCAGCGGCACTTCCTGGCTGGTGGCCCCGGAGCTGCAGGCCGCGCTGCTGGGCGACCCTGTAGAGCCGACCGCAACCAGCCTCGACACGTCACCTTTCTCGCAGCGCATCCACAGGGGGCTGGAGAGGCTGACTCGGCAGCTGCGGCGTGCATGACGGTGTCGTGCTGGGAGAGGGAGACAGGCAGGCCACCTGGCTTGGGCAGCCGACGTCGGTGTATGGGCTTGGTGCGATGATGGAGAAAGTCATCCGAGCAGGCGGCATCTCAGGCGTCGTGATGGCTGACGTGGCGGAGCGGGAGAGGGCGGCGTTGACGGAGACATATGTCGAGCTGACGCCTCTGGAGTGGGATCTGCACTAATGACGCCATCATGACCACCGACGGCAGAGCCACAGACAAGGTCGGCGTCCCGACGTGCCACATCGAGGAGCGTCGAGGGGAGAGGCGCTTTGATGGCGTCTTCCGGTGGCTCGACACCCTCTGCCGCGCTGCGAGGACGGGGCTGAGTCCGCGGATACCGCTGATCGTCTCGCCAACCAGCAGCCACGGTGGAGGAGGTCAGGTATGGGCATAAGTACAGAGACGCAGAGAGAGGTACACAGACAGAGAGGCAATTGGCTGCTGTTCTTGTGTCTTGTGTTTCGGGCAGATGCACCGCTGTCTACATTTTATATTTCGCGAGTCCCTGTATTCTTCGAAGGCAGCTCCGGGACATCGGCGACTTGTTCTACCTTCGTCTGGAGCAGTTGTGCGCTGGGGAGAGGTTTCGTATGTAGCGATGACACCCCTAGGTGAGAAAGATGGGATGGACGAGGGAGGGGAGGAGGCGACTTCCTTACCACCGACGTCACTCATCGCTGTGTTGTGTGTGTGGGTGTGCAGGTGAGGAGTGGGTTGGGGTGGTCCGGCTGTTCGGATGGACGAAGGGAGAGAGCAAGGAGACCAATCAGGTAGAGACAGAGAGAGACACAGAGAGACACAGAGAGACACAGAGAGAGGCAATCAATTTCCTGCTGTGTTGTCCTTTGTCCTTTCGGCATTCAGATCGCTGACTGCATTTTATATTTGCGCAGCTGGTGTACGGCGGGTTCAAGCTCCTCAAGAGAGACCCAAACGCGCCACCCGCTCCCCACACTAGGCGCACATGCCGAGACGGCCCTCCACCCGCCGAGCTGTCCTATCATGAGCGGGTGGAGAACTACGAGAGGGTCAAGGCGAGGATAGAGATGGAGTTGGGTATCGCCCCCCCAGTCCGACTCGACCCCCCACCACGGCCGAGGTGGCAAAGCGGCTCATCAAGCACCACCTCCAGTATGATGATACACACAATGATACACACACACACACACACACACACATTCGGCTTTTCACGCATCAGCCGGTTGTTTGTCTGTCTGTCTGTCTATGTGTGTCACTACTTACTTGTCCACAGAAATGGCAACCGCAGACGCGCGTGGTGTGGAGACACCGGGAACTTCATCCGTCTCCGAGACCCACGGCCCCTCAGCACAGCTATAGGGAGGGGGAGGAGCTTGTTGACGTGCTTAGGAGGATCACGTATGGGCATCAAATTAGAAAGACACAGAGACAATAATTGACAGCTGGTGTTGTCCTTTGTGTCTTCAGCCGATGCATCGCTGACTACATTTTATATCGGTCGGGTCCCTGTATTAACCTACCGATGATGTGCAGAGGTCAGGGCGCATGCGGCGAAGACATCAAGAGGACGACAGCGATCACTTCATGTAGGCAGAGAGGGGGAGGACGTGCAGACAAGACGGTGTGGGCTGACTGCTGTCTTTTCTTGTGTGTTGTTATGTCAGCGCCTGTCTGCGGGATGCGAGGGCTCATCGGAGGAAGCTGGGGCAGCTGCATTGGTGCACGTGTTCGCTGCACGCGGCAGGTGATAGCATCGGTGCTGTGCTTGAGCTGACAGTTGTACATAGCATGAAGTTCATTAAAGGCCCTTGGTCAGTTGCGGAGAAATGAGTCGAGGCGAGTAGGACATTCGTCCATTCGCCCACCCGAATGGCACGCAATGGAATCAGCCAAGTCACCCCCACTTAAAAGCACTCTGGACCCTTTAATTAGGCCGCCACTGCTCACACACACACAGACCTTCCCCACCCAATCGCACACGACCAGCCGCCGCCCGGCCAATAGCACTCACCGCTCACCCCGCCTCTGTCCCCCTGTCGATGACATCACGCTCGAGGCCGAACGGCCGCAGCACACGGCGGATAGCACCAACCGACTCGGGGAACCGCTTGGCGAACGATCTGAGTGCATCGACAGCAGGTCGCTCGGTCGTGTACAGCTAAATGCTGCCCCTCCCCACCCACACGAAGGCAGCGACGGTCTCGTTGGGTCGGAAGCCGCTCACTATCACACGACGAGAGTCTATCGCATAAGCAGAATTGAGATTGCCCCTGTCGTAGCGCCGGTGGACAGGGATGCCCTGATCCTCTGTGATGGCCGATGTCAGTAGACGTTCACAGCGAGGGTCGCTCCGGCCGAATCGGATGTCTATCCTCTCGGCTGCCACCTCACCGGACCACCGACTGAGCAGCCTGTCCAGCAGAAATGCCGAGAATGAGGGGGAGAGAGAGAGATAGACGTCCCAGCGGATGACGGGATCGGTCCGCTTGTAGCCGTCAGCATAGCGATGGCCGGCCGGCAGATCACCATGAGGCACCACACGAAATGACACATTGCCAACCCGATAGGCCCCGTTGTTGGCTTGCTGCAGCGCCAGGGTGACCCCGTTTTTTGTCAGCTGACGGCTGAAGGTGGAGTAGATGGCCAATGCGATCGGCAGCTGGTGCAAGGCCGTTGCTGTGGGCAGCGAGTCGGCCGGCAGCCGAAGGGGCAGAGTCGAGTCGGCGGGGGTCAGCCGATGGATGAAGGCCACCCGAAGGAACCGTCCCATCGCCCGCCACTCCTCACCGGTGCCCTGCTCCAGCAGCCAGGCGACCCTCAAGCCGCCCTCCACGTCACCATCAATGTCGAAGGCTAAGACGTTGTCCAGGCCGAGACGACTGATGGCCTTGTTGACGTGCTGCTGGACGCCGTTGAGCAGCGTGCTGGTGACGGTCGCCGAGGTGTGGCCCAGGAGCTCCTGCTGCCGAGTGCGGGTGACGATCTGTGAGCGGAGAGCGCCTCGCGTGGCATCGTCATTCGCCATGGCCATGCGGACCATCTTGCTGATGGGCAGTGACATGTCAAAGAGCTCGGCGGGCTGGAAGAGGGGCTGGGACGAGGGCGCTGCACGAGTGGGCTGCATCAGTCGTGACTGTGGAAAGGTCTCAGAGAAGCGTGGTGACACTGTGCGTGAGAGATCTGCAGGCACACAGCAGACCCATGGCAGCAGACACGGAGAGGCATCGGTTTTTCGGCATTTCGATGACTCCTTTGCTTCTCTGGCTGTCTTACCCTCACTGAGTGGGTGGCTTGAGAGCTGCAAAGGCCTCGGAATCTTCCCAGTCGTCTGCGAGCTTGATTCGTAGATCTCGTCGCTTTTCCTTGCATCTTCCTCACAGCAGGGCCGTGTAGAGTTTGTGGGAGATGCCCAAAGAGCTGTCGTGATGTCATCGATCCACGCGATGCCGCCGCCAATCTGACTGAGTGATGCTGATCTGACGCATCGAGGTGAGAGAGGGTGGGCAGGAGGGCCTGATGGCATCAGCAATGACAGTCTGCGACATCCGTGTGTTTGTCGCAGATTTCCAGCACTTTCAAGTGGCGTCCAGCAACAGAGCGACAGTCAAAGGCAGCCGGGGAGCCAACTGAGGTACGGGAAGCGGAAGAAAGCGACTCGGAGGCTCACAGATCGATGAGGCGCCACCGGTGCATTCACTGATATGATGTCCGTGCAGTGACTCTTTGCAGGTGTGCAGATGTGATACCTGGAAGGCCGTCATTGGCGATGTTCCCGAAGACGACTGACCGGCTGGCGTGTTGGCTGCTGCGCTGTCTGGGCCACATAAGCCCCGGTGGCCAGTGGATGAGTGTACAGAGAGGGATGTCATGTCGTGTCGATTGTCGATAGCTGGCGTATCTGTCTGGGTATGTAAATGACTGACTGGATGGATGGATGGATGAGACCACTGCCAGTGGCAGTTAGATTGGGAAACGTTCGTCCGTGTCCTTGATTGAGCCACATTTGCTCGACCTACTGTCGTGATCCTGGTCAGTGGATCAGACAGACCGGTGGGGTGGCAGTGGCTCAAAGGCATTGCCAGTGTGATGCCTCTCAGCGTCTTGGATGACTGGGTGCCTGTCTGTCTGTCTGTGAGTATGGCTGTGGGTCGACTTGACGCTGCCAGTGACGGTGGATGGGCGTGGGACTGTGATCGACAAATTCGTTGGTCGTAGCCCCTAGCTCGTCGCGCAAAATATTGTATGTGTAGTGGCCGTGAGTGAAGAAAGACTGACATGCACTCGTTGCAAGCGACAAATTGTGCCAATCGACACGTAGACCACCTTCTACCAACCACCCAAGCCCACCACTCGGCAAAACCACCGACACATTGGCGTAGGCACACCCAGGGACTAGACATGCCATACAGCAGCTGCTGGCACAGTAAGTACATAGCCACATAACATACACTCACTACACAAACAGACACTCAGGCAAAGAGAGAGGCGGACAGACAGACAGACTATTCGATCACGTAAGTAATACGCAGGCAGGCCTGCAGGCACTCTGCACTGCAAGCGACGAATCAATGGCCATCCATCCATCCATTGATTGTCTATTGTACTACGCAGCCACACGGCACGGCAGACACATTGGTGTGGGCACACCCACGGACGGGACGGAGCGGAGCAAACACTCCTGGCTGACATGACACCCATGAGTGCACTGGGCCTGACAGAGACGCATACTCACTAACCTAAACATCATCGAAGACACGCTATCAATCAGCATCGATGGAACCGCTGTGTGCCAAGCAGGAGATAGATACTAATTGGAAGCGGCACAGCAGAGAGGCGTGGGCAAACCCACGGAAAAGAAACACACACTACACAGACACGCACACACAACCACGCGCAGCACGATGCACATACACACACACACACGGCACAGACGCACGCGTAGGGACAGACACAGAGGGGGTGGGGTGAGTGTGTGGGGGGTGGGATGCTGCAAGTAAGTGTATGTGTATGTGTATGTGTGTTTGTGTAAGCAAGTGCCATACATCAGTGCACACACATGTACACGCACCGATGGACACACCATGTGTGTGTGTAGAGGTGGAGATGGCTGGTTGTGAGTGAGATGCAATCTCTGCCCGACAGACACATGGGTGGGCGTGGGCACCATCCGGACCACATCCCATAGACTGCGGACAAAGAGTGCAGGGTAAAGTCGGTACGTGTATGTATATGAGGTGTGCGGCGGCACAAGGAGCTGTCGACGGGATGATGGATGGGCCGAAAGCGCGGCCAGCGACGAAAAACAGCGGCGGAAAGAGCAGTGCTCCTGCGCAGCAGGAGAAAGCTGCGCTTCGTGTCGGCATGTGTGTGCCTTAGTGGGTGGGCGTGTCGCGGGCCGCCAAGCAAAACCGCTGGATGACAAAGGGAAGCCTGTCGATGAATGGTGGACCACAACTGTGGAGTAAGTCAGTCAGTCAGTCAGTAGGTGGTGTGTGAGTGTGTGTGGTGAGTGAGTGGGATCACACAGTCAGTCGTGTCCGAAGTAAGTGTCTGGTTGGTATGTGTGTGTGTGTCTCTCTGCACATGAACACATCTGGCTGATGCAAACAAACAGGAGAAAGTGTTTCAGGCCAAAGCACACAATAAACAAACGGCTGGCTGTTCTCCTCTCCCTGTGGACGGACGCCTGGCTAGAACAGGTCGGGTCAGGTCAAGGGGGCTGCACCCAACACCGCCAAAGCAGCAGAGGAGCAGTGAGTCGGTGGGTGCAGTAAGGTAATCCTATACATCCGTGCAGCACATGGTGAGTGGAGTGAGTAAGTCGAATGAACCGTGGACAGAAATACAACAAACACGCAGTCAGTCAGTCAGTAGTGAGTCGACACGGATGCACACGGGCATGGCGTTACGCTCACGCCTCTACACGCATCTCACGCATCCACGAACCATGGGTCACGATTGTCACCACATGAGAGTGAATTCGTCTGTCATCCATCCATCCATCCAGACACACACACCCCGACACGCTGGCTGCATCACAGTCAGTCAACGGGCAGGCATGGGCCTCATCCATCCATTCTGGCAGCCAGTCATTCACAAATACGTACAAGCAATAAGTAAGTAGATGCAGGTGCCTCCCTGGCCGGCGTGCCACAAACGGCATTTTGGCGGGGGCAAAAGCAGCTCTCGTACAGGGCGGCGCCGAACCACACGGCGCCTGCTGGTGGAGCCGGGGGCGAGACGGTCTCCTCAGGCGGCTCCTACGGCGGTGCTGGTAGGGCCTGTTTGATAACCCCCTGCACCTGCATCTGGATCTGCTCCTCACTCGGTAACTCCACGTCGCCCTCCCCCTCGGTCGCGGCACCCTCCTGTGAGAGAATGACCCCCGCAGATGGGAGGCACGCACGGTACATACGTGGTCTGCTTGTCTGTTTGTGTGTTGGTGCTGTAGTCTTACCTGAGGCGCGTCTTCTGTGACGGCTTGTTCGATCTTGGTTCCCTCCAGTTGCGGAAGACGGGCGATGTGCCCAGGTCGGGGGAGACAGACGGTGAGGGATGAAGGCTGGGAGAGGGAGGGGGGGAGGCCGAGGAGGACGAGTGGCGGGAGGGCTGCTCGGCCGCAGCTGCAGCCATGGCCACCTGCCGCTCCCCCATGGCAACGAACAGGATGTTGGCCTCGCGACGCACGTCGATGGCCAGCCTCCCTCCTGGTGGAGCTGCGCGAGCCAGCGAACTCCGCATGTGG